CCATAAAAACTCATAATTTTATGGTAAATAAAGAAGAAACGGACCTCAAAATCCCTTGTTTCAAGCTGATTCATGTATTCCATCGTCTTCCTGGCTTCAATTTCTTGCTCTTTGGCCTCGGCCAACTCTTTTTTGGCCGATTCAACTCTCTGTGTAGCTTTAACCAATTCATCTACCTGCTGGTCCGCTATACCTGATATCACGTTCTTCAGTTGACCGCCATTGGTAATGAAGTTGGAGCTTTTCGTATCACTAAATCCATTGATGTTAAGGGGGCTTCTGCAGTTCACGATCAACAGAGAATACCTTGAGGATGAGGATGATATTAATGGCTGTGAAAGCAGTTTCAATCGCGTGAGGAATGGAGTTTCTGCAGCAAAAATGGGAATGGGTGTGGTTGCCATGCTTTGTGGATAGCTGCCCTCTGTTTGTGGGGTATGTATTACCAGAGCAAAGGAGTTGCTTTATTTTCTTTTTGTTCTAAATTCATTTCGTGTTTGGGTTCTAAAGAATTAAATTAAATGATCTGTTTATATATATTGAATTGAATGAGGTGTACTTATTAGTTTTATTAGTTATGCTATAACTTAATATAAAGAAATTTACTAGAAAATTACATAACCAACAACATTTTTTTAATATAACGCAAATTTTCCACACATTTCTTTTATAAGTTGTTCGATAAAAGCCACATATTCACGAAAATTCATGTGTTAAGTCTTGCATCATTCAACACTATGTGTATGCCTTAGAAAAGGTTGCAAACAAAGATTCATTGGAAGTTAGCATCAACTTTAATATGGGAGCGACATCCTACAAAGAAGGTTAAAGCTTTTAGAAACACAAAACTAAGATATTCAAATAATAACAATTCACTTTTATAGATGGGAAAACTTACTATCATCATCAAACAAAATCCCCACTTACTATCATCATCAAACAAAACCCCCACTGCTTTTTGTTATTCTTAAGAAGGCGATTGCATGGGAACAGTTAAGACGAGAGGGGTTTTTACGTATAAATGATAGGGCTTATAAGGCTGTGAGGAGTGAGACGACAAACATCGTGGCACGTCGAGGGCACACCGCCCCCTCTTCTCGACAAGAGGAAAAAAAATGTCTTGCTCCTTCCTTCCCACTGTGTCCTTCCTTGTGTGTCGAAGATATAAAGTGGGTGCACTGGAAAAGAACGGGAGTTGGGTTGATCTATTCTATGTCGCAACATCTGAAGCATAATTGCATACTCATACGATCATTGCCGACAACTAAGAGCATTTGATGGAACCGGTGAACTACACTGCTTCTGGATAGATGCGTGGAACAAAGGGATTTTGCAGATGACATCTACGAACCAGAAACTTCCATATGCGAAAATGTGAAATAGTCAATAAAAGTGCCATTTTAGTACAATTACAACAATATTTATTTTCCATCTACTACTTTCTTTTCAACTAAAAATCTTTACTTTTTACCTACCTCCCTTATTTGAGTACTATATAAAATGTTTTAATCATAGTATTCTCTTATTCACTATAAAATAAGTTCATATGAAATTGGTGTTTGACATTATGAAGAGAAAAGTTGTTATATTTGTTTCGATGTTATCTCATTCTAATGGCCCTAATGAATCACTACCCGCTACGATGGATGCGGGTCCTCAATGAATGCACATACATTTTAGTAACATAGTTGCAAGAAAAGCTAGAATGGATAACTAACACTAAAAAAACTTAAAGAAACAAAAAAGTGGATCTGTGGTGTGGGTGGTGTGGATGCAAAGACTGATAGGTTTAGGGAAACCTCCTCCCTCCAACACACACACATTTTGTTTTCCTTTTAATGGAATTCACAGTCATGAGTGATAATGAATTGGTTAAAAATAGGATGGTTATTCTGTGAGAACTGATTCATACACAACAAAATTTCTCCATACACAACAATTTATGTTTTAAAATGTTGTATTATACAACTCCATTAAGCATAAAATGTTGTGTACAGAGAAAAAATGTTGTGTACGAATCACTTCCCTTATTCTGTAGTATATTTGCTTCTAGAAAATAGCTAGTCAACCACCAAAGCTATCACAATGCAAGAAGAAGCTTGAAAGATAGATCTATAAAAGGTGCGTATTTTAAAGCTCTTTTTTGATGATTTGGTTAAATATTTACTTTGTATTTAGTCCATAGTTTTCTTATTACATGTACATTGCCATGCATATTGTACCATGTTTAGTTGGTGTTCTCAACTTCCTTCCATATATTTTCCACCTCTTCCCTTCCTAATAGGTTATCTTTTTATTAGAAAACGATTACACATGTCTCTATGTCTCTATCAGGTATGAAACGATGTTTTCTAACTAGGGCAAGAGAACAATATGGATTACTTGAGTGCATAGAGTTGTAAGGAAGGTGGAGAATTTGATGAGAAAATTGAATTTACAAAATTCTCATTTTTATAAATTTTCTAACTAGGTATTTCATTTTTTTTTTAAATAAAGACATGGCTTTTTATCAATGATGTCAAGATTTCAGGATTTTATTGGAGATTTATCTGATTTTTGACAATAACAGCAGACCCAAAATGTAATTTATAAGGAAATAAAATGTAAAGAGGAGATTAAAGACCAATTGTTGACCCAAAAGGGCAGGGGCGATTCGTAAGCGAAACCGAAGAAATCAATAATCAATAAACCCTTATAAAAGTCGTGGGCTGCCTCTTTGAAACGACCTAGGCATGTTTACGGTCGCTACAAGATTACTCGCTCCAACTAGACTTCTCATTGCTAACAAAAACTTCACTTTCTCAATAATGGCCGCGGCTACTTTCTCCGCAAACTCGACGTCTTACACTCCTCTGAAAAGGGTAGGCACCCATAATGGAAGCTTTCACTGTGACGAAGCACTGGGCTGCTTCATGATTCGCCTCACCAACAAGTATTCTGGGGCCGAAATCGTACGTACAAGAGATCCGCAGGTTTGTTGTAGCACACCAACTGTTTGTTGAAATGCGCAAGTTAAAATTCTCTCTTTTTTCATAAAAACTTGACTTGGTGGAAAATATTCTATCGGATTGTAGATTTTAGAGACTCTTGATGCTGTTCTTGATGTTGGTGGAGTGTACGATCCCAGTCATGATCGTTATGACCACCACCAAAAGGGTTTCACTGAGGTTTTTGGATATGGGTTTACTACTAAACTTAGTAGTGCTGGTCTTATTTATAAGGTAGACTTCAAAGTTGAAACCGATGTGTAATTTTATTCCAATTCTTTTGCTTTAGCGATCTAATAAGCTGTTATCGTTTGTAGCATTTTGGAACAGAAATAATTGCAAAAGAGCTTCAGGTTGACGAAGGGCACCCAGATGTGCAGAGGTTATATTTAGCCATTTACAAAAGCTTCATGGAGGTGATTGTTTATACTTTATATTGATGAGTTACATCTTCTTTTCTAGTTTCTCAAAAACTTGAAGAATTTTCTATTTGTTACAGGCAATCGATGCAATTGACAATGGAATCAATCAATATGACACTGATCAACCTCCTAAATACGTGAACAACACCCACTTGTCATCAAGGGTTGGAAAATTCAATCTGGACTGGACTGACCGTGATCAGTCTTCTGAGAAAGAGAATCAAGCTTTTCAGAAGGCAATGAATCTTGCAGGCACTGAGTTCTTAGATGTGAGTAATTATTATACACTATTGCTTTTTGTATGGATTGAAGAAATTTTTTCTACTTGCTTACATTTAATTTATGGTGTTCACAGAGTGTTCGATTTCATGTAAAATCATGGCTTCCAGCTCGCTCAATTGTCATGGAATGTCTTGCAGCAAGAACCAATATTGATCCTAGTGGAGAAATCATGGTTTTGGATAGATTTTGCCCTGTAAGTTTTTCATTTTTGTTAGTGACTTGGTTTTGATAAACCAGAAATTTTGATTTGATTTTTATTGTTGACAGTGGAAGCTTCACTTATATGAGCTTGAGCAGGAGTTGAAGACAGAACCATCTGTTAAATATGTTCTTTATCAGGTACTCACTCATTCATAATATATATGTTATGTTTATTTTTTAATTTAAATTATTAATATTATGTTCTTGTACTGATAACTGGAATAAATTTAAAACCTGGCAGGATGAAAGGAGCAAAAGCTGGAGAGTTCAGGCAGTAGCAAAATCTCCTGATAGCTTTGAGAGCAGAAAGGCACTTCCTGCTCAATGGAGAGGTCTGAGAGATGATGATCTTTCCAAGGAATCCGGGATTCCGGGGTGTGTTTTTGTGCATATGAGTGGCTTTATTGGTGGGAATCATACGTATGAGGGTGCACTTGACATGGCTAGAGGTGGCTTAAAGCTCTAAAAATGGCATCTTCTTCTACTTTGTTCGCCCCATTTTCAGCTTTCCAATTAAACATTTTTATTTATCTTTTTACAAGTGTATTAGATTGTTATGCAAACTATGAGACAAGTGGAACAGTTGCTTATTCAGAGTTATTTTTTCAAGTTTTTTTTTTTTTTTTACTTCAATAGTAAGCATTTTGGCTTGTGCAAATGTTTTTGGAAGGAAATGGAATCTGTCTATTCAGGATTTGCAACCAGAAGGTATCATGTGTTTGGTTGGCTGGAATTGGAATGGAATTTGTGAGCAAGAAAAGGGAAACAGATGGAGATGTGAGTGATGATTACTTGTGAAATTCTAGTTATAAAAGTCTAATGGATTTTGTAACATTGAAGAAAGAGGAGAAATTGAATTATATGTGTTAAAAATCCATGGGTTTTTGTCAATCTCAACATAATTTAATTCCTTACTTATTTGCAACAAAACAAGGGATTGGATTACAATTCCGACCAAACTCCATGAAATCTGGCAAACCAAATGTCCAAATGCCTCTAGTACATTGTACAGTGTCACGTGACTTTCGCGTGACCTGTTGACACTATATAGGAAGATGTAATCAGATGTGTTCTAATCTTGACGTCGCTATTCCAATCAAACTCAGCTATGGCGACTCTTACTTTCTCAACTTCATCTCTTCACACCAAAACCCTAACAAGAAAATCCGTAGAACATTTCCCCTGTAAAACCCTAATACACCTTCCGAAGTCCCCCAATTTTGAATCTCTGAGCTCTGTCATCAAACGGAAAACGTTAGTCGGTCCTCCGATCAGATCCACTACGACCACCATCTCCGAGAGTTTATCTACCACAACCGCCCCACAGACCCTCAAATCTCGGCTCAAAAATGGCGAGACTTTGTACGGTCTTTTCCTGCTCTCCTTCTCGCCTACACTTGCTGAGATCGCCGGTCTCTCCGGCTACGACTTCGTTGTCGTCGACATGGAACACGGTCCAGGCGGCATCTCTCAAGCTCTCTCGTGTCTCCATGCTCTCGCCGCAGCTCGTACACCGACGATCCTTCGTTTACCTGACTCTGACGCAGCATGGGCTAAGAAAGCTCTCGATCTTGGACCTCAGGGTATCATGTTTCCCATGATTGAGAGCCAGAAAATGGCGAAAAAAGCAGTCTCCTATTGTAAGTTCCCACCAAACGGAGTCCGTGGCTCTGCTCATACAGTCGTTCGGGCCTCCGATTACGGAATCGACAATGGGTATCTAAGCAATTACGAAGAAGAGCTTCTGATCATGTGTCAGGTGGAATCGGAAGAGGGAGTGAAGAAGATTGATGAGATTGCAAGTGTTGATGGAGTTGACTGCGTGCAGATGGGACCGTTGGATCTGAGTGCGAGCATGGGGGTATCTATGGGACCCTGGGAATAAGAAAGTAAAGGAGATGATGAAGACGGCGGAGAAGGGAGTGCTGAAGAAGACGGGGAAAGGTGGTGGTGGTGGTGGAGCTTATCTTTCTGGTTTTGCAATGCCGCACGACACGCCGGAGGATCTGAGGTCACGCGGATATCACATGATTTCAGGGGCAGTTGATATAGGGTTGTTCAGGAGTGCGTGTGTGGAAGATGTGAAGAAGTTCAAGATGAAATCAGTTGATTCTGATGAAGATGTCGATGGTATCGAAATTGTTAAAGATGGTGATGAGAAGTACTGGAGTGAATGACTTGATTTGTATTTCTTTTTCTTTTTCTTTCGCTTCATTAACCGAGTGATCCTTTCCTCTTTTTGTTCAATGGAATGCAAACTATTTGAATCCAATAAATCCCCAATTAACGACATATCTGGCATAATCTTGATTAATAGACCAAGATTAATATAGTAATAGAGAAACTCTGTTAATGGAATGCAAACTCTGTTATAGCCATTTTTGGACATTCAGTGTACTCTAAAGAATAAGAATAGAGGAATACATGGAGTTCAACATAGTAAAATAAGAAACCAATCTTTTTGATCAAAGGTTGAATTGATCATCATCATCAGAAGATTTCACTGAAATATATCTTTTTGATCAAAGGTAGATTTGATCATAAGAAGAAGAGACGTTCAGAAATTCGCTGAAAAGCTAATCATTAGGTTCCTCTCTCCATCGGATGATGGAGAAGGGATGCTCATTACCAAAATATATCTTTTTATCAAAAGGGATGCTAAAATATATCTTTTTATCAAAGGTTGAATTGATCATCAGAAGAAGAATTGGGATTGTTTTTCGTGTTTTACAAGATTGTAACGGCAAGATCAGGATCGTTTTTTGTTTTACAAGATTGTAACTGTAAGATCGAATCAAGATCATAAGGTCGAAGAGTCATTTAAAACATAAAAATTACATTTCCATCCATCAATTAATAATGCTAGAATCAAGATCATAAGGTCAAAGAGTCATTTAAAACATAAAAATTACAAATCTATCCATCAATTAATAACAATAAACAGTTTAAAATATAAAAATACATCTTCAAAACACCATTTAACAATAAACAATTCAAAATGAATTTTTTAAAGTTCGTATTCAATTAACTTAGTTCCGATCCTATTTTCGATCTTACCGAAAACAATCTAAAGTTGATCAATATCGATTTACCTACGTGAGATCTTAGAATCTTATGATCAAGATCGTGATTTTAACAATATTTGTTTAATAAAAAAAAAACGAAAGTTGAAAAACATAGGGGCATGTAGATCCTTGGTGGAATGTATGGATTAGAATTGCAAATAGAGAAAACGATCACCTATCAGAAAAGTAAGTCATGTCTGATTCGAGGTGACCTCATTTTCTTTTAAAATAATCATTACTAATTTTTCTAAAAACTACAAATTAGAAAGAAAAAAAACATATAAGCAAAATACGTTGCTAATATTTAAATGTTATAAATTTACTAATGAAATATTTCAAATAAATAAAATCATAAAAATTTAAAACAGCACATTGTATATTCAAAAATCCAACCAAACCTTTTTAATTAAAAAAAAAAAAAAAAAACCTAAATTTTTTTATGTCTTCCATCTATAAAATTAAACCAAATCACATCATTACCAATCTAATCTAAATTAGTTTTTTATATAAAAACTTACCGTTCCAAAAAATTATTTAATAAACATAGTTTATGATTTTTTATTATTCCATCAAAAATTTAGAAATATTAAAAATAATTATTTTATTTCAAAACAAATAAATATTTATTTAGAATATTAAGTAAATAAAAATAGACATAATATTATTTTATATTCAGCAAACATACTAAATAGAAACAGATCAAACATTATTTTTATATTAATCAAAGATACTAAATAAAAATAGATAAAAACATCATTTTATATTCATTAAAAGGAATATCTTCATCGACATCCGTTTATTGTCTTTCGAGTGTTTTCCAGTATTTTGTCAGGTTTAAATATTTTCAATTACAAAAAACTAAAAGTTTCATACCCGTAGAAGTTCGAATAATCTTTAGAATCATCAAAATATAAAGAAAATTTAGATACGAAAGATCTATGATAGCAAATACGAAATTAAAAGAAAAAAAATGAATAAGAAAATGCCCATTTCAAATCCGATTCATTAAATAAAACCCATATATGATATATGATCGGTCTAATACAATTGGTTAAGACCAATGTTCGTGTTTATGACAAATGGGGCGGTTTCTAGAATCACAAAATTTGTCTTAGATCCCAAGTGGATTATGTAAATCACTTTTTGAATTTGATATTAAGCACCTTGCGACCTGAGTTTATAGGAAATTCAAACTGTTGGGCTAAATCTTACAATGAACAAACTTTGATTCTAGGCATAGACTGAAAGTCATGAAAAACCGGATGTTTTCAGACAGAATTTGGATTCTTTGATCTACCAAAAAGTGTCAACGAGAACAAACCAATCTTAGACAAATGTGCACTATGCATCCCCCAACTTGTATAGAATCAAAGTTTGAAATCTTACAAATTCCATTACACAAAAACTTGGTAAACACTAAAATCACCAACAATACAAACTGCTTAAAAGTAGTAATGTATGACTAAGATGCTGCCTTTTCTTGGTAATATAATTACCACATGGTCAATAAATATAACACGATATAAATAATTTCAAATGTTGTGCAAGACATCTAAAAGCAAAAAAGGTTGAAATGATGTTGTATTATAACAACAGTAAGGCTATCATCCTATGGCTTCTTGCTTTTGCTGCATTGACAAGTGAGTGGTGTTATCAAGATTCATCCATGGGCTTATTTGATTCAGCTCCATAGTTGGGATCAGAAGAAAAATGAGCAGACATGGGTTTTGATTCACTGAATGGACTTGGACTTGTTGTATCCACTTCCATAGCAGACGCCCTTGGCGGAGATGCTGGCTGCACCTCAACCTCCGGGTAAGCCGCCTTAAATCTTGCCCTCAGCCCATCATCCACCAGCCGTGCACCACTCAACTGATTACCAAGTGACATCCACCTAATCAATCCATCATTTATCAAATCATCACATAATTTCTACAAACTTGAAAAAAATATAATATAATATAATAATCTAAAAACAAAAAAAAGCTTTTACCCTGCATGTGTGTTGTGCATACGAGCAAACAACTCCAGCTTTCTTGTTCTTGGACTTATCCTCTCCAACAAAGGATACATCTGACACAAACATAAACATTTTTTTTTTCAAATAAATAAATAAAATCCCAGCTTTGTTGTTCTTGATGTATTAATGAAGGAGTGTGAATGAAGCTCACCTCATCAGGCTTACGACTTGTTTCTCGAACCTCTGCAACAATGACATCTGTATCAATATTCCTGTTGACAATCGGATCTCCTTTAATCCCAACAAGGCAATGTTCTTTGCTATGATTCAACCAATGACCAGTTCTCCCTGTTCTTATTATCCTTTGAAGTTGATTCGTCTTCACCCATATTATTTCCTCCACTCTCTTATATCCCCAAAGTTCCAAACTACAACAAATTTAAATCAATGCAAACATTCAGCATCATATACTACATCAATATATCATACATCAAAACCATTTAAAAATTGATATAATACCATTCACGTCCTAGTTCCATTGCTCTTCCTGTTACCCAAAGAAAGATAAGACCATCAGTCTGTAATGCTTGGATATTCAGATTCCTCATCTCATCATCAGCCATGGTGCCATAAGGTAACTCCATATGAATGTCCCATGGTGGATCAGCCATTATCACTCCATATTGTCCTAATATATCCATTCTGAAGTTCCGAATGTCACAGTTAATCCATTGCGATTCACCAAGCTCCACTTCTGAACAATACTCAGCTCGTTGAGGCTTTAATGGCTTTGAAGGTCCAGAAACACCCATCATCATATTCATGTGTGCCACATCTGGCGTTGAATCAAGCTCATAATGTACATACTTGCAAGTCTGCCAGATATATAAACACACACACACCAACTCAATTACTCAAATCAAAACAAAAAGATTTACATCATGTGATGATGATGATGATTTCACCTTCATGTGACGACATGTGTCAAGAAAAGAACAGTCGCCAAGGTTCATATCAGTGTGGACAGCAATTATCCGCCTGAAATGAACCTTTTCACAAGAGATGAAAGAACCAGATTGGCGTCTGCAGTCTTCTTTAGTCAAAGCTGTACAGTATTCCTTTACTTGAGAACCACCTTTGCTTTTGAACTGAAATAATCATAATCATGGCGTTATGAGTTCTATTTTCTTATGAATGCAATTTAAAGATGAAGAAAAGAAGATGAAACAAGAACCTTTGCAGCAACGGCAGTTTCCTTTGCAGTAGGACGATGGATGAGGTCCAACAACTCCTCTCCTGTTTTTGATTTCTGTAACTCCTTGAAAGACTTCTTATTAAGTAAAGCTTCAAGATCTTTAAGATCGTCCTCCTCTGTTCTCGGTGGCTTCCCGTTTGAACCACCACCGCTGCTATGCATCGGCGAATACATCCCACCCATTGATGGTGGTGGTCTATGCATCGGGTTAACACCCATTCCTCGAGGCCTCCCTAGCATCCCCATCATACCCCTCGGCCCCATTATCTGACCGCCGCCGAACTGACTAGGGTCTCCTTGCCCCATCCAACCGCCATCGCCGATTGTCCTAGAGCTTTGCTGAATCGCATTCCCACCACTTGAATTATTTGAATTTGATTCGTTTTGTTTACTCTCTGGCAACTCTTTGACTAATTTGGTTCTATCGATCCCCTTCACCAAAACCCTAAATTTCCCATTCACTTTGAACTCCTCTAACTGAACCCCGCCGTTGTCCTCTGCCATTGACCTCAACGCCAACTCCACCGCTAGTATCGTCTCCCCTCCAGCCACCTCCCTCAACGCCGCCTTCTCCGCTACCGTAACAGACTGGAAACTATCGCTCTCCAACTTACTCAAAATCGACGCCGAATCAATCTCCGTAAATGGAACCCTCTCCAACAAACAAACTGCCACCATTGACCTCACAGTAGCCAACGGCGTAGCTCCACTCCCACCTTCATCCCCTGCAAAACCCTCAGTCGAGGGTTTTGGGTGTAAATCATCGGAAAGTTTTGAGATTTTGATCGGAAGAGCAGGGGGCGGTGGTTGAATGCGTCGTCTAGTATTAGGGTTAGGAGCGGGAAGAGGGTTCGGAAGAGGGGTGAAAGGGCGGCCATTGAAGGAGGAAACGACCTTGAGATGGAGATCGAGAGACGAGGTAATGTCTGGAACTACACCATATTGGAGAGAAGATATAATTTCAAGCTGAGAATTGCGTAGCGTTTCAATACGAGACTGGATTTGTTGGCGAATTTCTTTGATGTTTGCAATTTCGTCCGTGCTATCTGATTGAGGCTCCATTCTTTTTCTTAGGCACAGTTCAAGCAGACGAGTTCCAAGGCTTTATACTAGAAGATATAGTAAATTATATGAATCGTCCTTCTGGTTTGGGCAAATATTCGCTTTCATCCCTATCCTTTTATCGCTTGGACGGTTTCAATGTATAATTTTGTTATAATTTTTGTTACTTACAAATATAATTTTGTTATAGTATCTTAAAATATCATTAAATTTTATTAAAACGAGCATTAAATGTTACACATCTCACCATTTAATTGTGTAATAGGATATTTATGAACAAAAAGTAGGAGGATATTTAATTTCTCATTTTGTTACTTACAAATATAAACAAAAGGTAAATTACACAAATGGTTCATGTGGTTTAGGGTAATCTGCGTGTTTGGTCCCTTACAGTTTTTTTTTTTAACTCGGACCATCCCTATTTTATATTTTTATTGCACAATTGGTCCTTTTCCGTTCTAAAATGACTATTATGCCCTTATACTTTTTTTAACCATTTTAATAATTTTTATTTACGCATTATTTATAAATAAACCAAATATAATATAAATATAAAATAAAATAATAAAGAATAAAAACCCTAAAGCTTCGTTCCTTCTCTTAGTTCTTCAGGCTTCACCTCCCTCCATCACCGCCTCTCACCCTCTTCGTCTCTTTCCCGTTCCAGATTTCGGTTGTGACAACCGTCAAAATTCGAGTCGGTTCTAGATTTCATAAACTTAGTTGCACGTGTAGGCACGACACATACTAGACTTTGTAGAATCGAATGATAGTGTACTTAGATTTCACATTGGTATGTGACTTCTAAAGTTACTTTAACTGTAACAACTATTCAAATTCGGGTCATTCCTTGACTTGAACACCTTTTCATGAATCATATACACACATCATGCACTTGACCTAGTGGTATAAATTAGGTCCGAGTCTCGTAGGAACTCAAGTCAAAGTTGAAAACTAGGACGGGTATACTTGATTCCTTAATTTCACTTGAATATCGAAACCACTACATAGAATGCCAATAAACTGATAAAAAAATAAATTACATACATTATTTCTAACTTGAATAAGAGTTACGAAACACAAAAATAATTTAAAGTCTCAAGATTCAATTTATTTTGATATCCAAAGATTTATTAAACTCCAAAACCCTAAAAGCCATAAAAACTCATATTTATAAACTTTAACCTTAAAGATTCTATAAAAATAATTATGAACCTTATAATATTATCTTATAATAATTAAAATTATGAAAATGCAATCAAGGAAAATAAAAACTAAAGATGATTTTTATAAGACAAAATACAATTGAACCTTGTAAAAACTAAAGATGATTTTTATAAAAACTAAAGATGATTTTAATAAAAATGATTAGGAAGCCATCTTTATTCAAAGTAAATCTTTAAAAGCCTCTTAAAACCCTCTCTCATCCCTCTTAAAGTCGGCCTCCACCTCCCAAGAAATCTCTTCCCAAAAACACTCAATCAATTTTATTCACTCTTTCACTCTACCTCTCATTCTCTCTCACACGCTCTATCACCAACTTCATTTTCTCTTTATTCTCTCTTCCTCTCTCTATCAACCACGAAATTCTCCAGCAAATAAGGCCAAGAACACTCAAGATACTCAAATCTTCATCATCTAATGGTGTTCATTAAGGTAGAACACGATTTTTCTTCATTTTCCTTCAAGTTTTCAGGGATTTTCTTGCATTTCCTTCTTCTTCTACATCTTTCTCTTAGAAAATTCATGTGCATGTTCATGCACTTCAGTTTTGATGATGATGGTGGTAATATTTCACCCAAAAACAACATGCATGTTGTAAATGGTGAAGTCCCATGACCTAAACCTAAGTCAAAATCAAGGAAATGCACTTTTCTACACGTTTTGGTGGAAAAACCATAGGCAGATCCAATTAAGGACCCTGGGTATCACAGGAGGCCCCAAAAAAAAATTAATAGTACAAATTTTTTCTAGAAATTTTTATTTATACTATAGGAAAATTCTAAAATATATTTTGGGCTACCCTAATTTTTTTTTTTATGTTTTTGTCAATGATTAATCTAATTAATAAGTAGCCCAATTGCCCAAACATAAAGCCCAATGTGTAATTCCAAAAAACTAATGAACGATCAATCTCCATATCGTGACTTTAGAATTCGTTTCCCAATTCCCTCCCAGTCCCTGCAAGTCTACTACACACGTTGCTGCCCTCTTTCTTCTGCCGCCGATAGGTGGCCGGTGGTGGGTGTTTTTCGGCGAAATCCTCCGGTGACCGGTGGTGGGTGATTATTGATCAAAGTGGTGTACAATGAAGCAAGTAAGTAGAAATTTTGTGATTATTTTCTTGGTTAATTGAAATTCAATTATTTGGCATTGTGTTGAAAAAATAGAAATTACCAATTAGGATTGTTAAATTAGAGACTTAGGGTCACTAATTAGTGATTATTTGTTGTTGAAACTTGAAATCAAGTTATAGAATTAGAGTTGATTGTTGATATATTTTGATTGTAGGTTGCTATTAACAATTTTTTTCAAAAGACAGTTAGATGTTGGAGACAACAATGGTGAAGGAACTTCAAAAAAAATAAGGTTAATGAAAGTACACAAGTTCCACAACCTAATCAACATACACCAAAACCACAAGAACCACAATCTAATGAACCTATTCCAAAACCACAAGAACCACAATCTAATGAGCATACTAAAAAACCAAAAGTGCCACAATCTTTTGATTTGAATGATCTTCCTTCGGACCCGGGGAGAGGCCAAAGATTACATCTTATACTCCTAATCAAAGGGATGAAATAAGAAGGGCATATTTGATTAAAGGACCTTGTCAACCAAAGGGGCATACTTTTGAATTTACATTATTTGGTGAGAAGCAAAGACGTTTTGTTGTGGAATGGTTTAGGGAATTTCCATGGTTAGAGTATAGCATTAAAAAAAATAAGACATATTGTTTTTGTTGCTATTTGTTTAAAGACATGGTAGGGGGTCAAGGTGGAAAAGATGCTTTTATAACCGAAGGCTTTGACAATTGGAGTAAAAAAAATCATTCCGGAAACATATGGGTGAGATTCATAGTTCTCACCATAAGGCCGAAGAAAAGTGTCATTTGTTATTGAGAAAAAACCAATCTATTAGTGAAGTTTTGCATAAGCAAACAGAACTTGAGCAAAGTAATTATGAAATTCGATTACGTGCTACAATCCGTAGTTGTAGATTTTTATTGAAAAATGCATTACCATATCGTGGACATGATGAGACGGAAAAGTCTAATAATAAAAGACTTTTCATTGAAGTCTTATCTTTGATTAGAGAAGACAATGAGAAAATTTTTAAAGTTACTTTAGAAAATGCTCCAAAAGATGAAAAGTTGACTTCTCCGGCGATTCAAAAAGATATTGTCAATTGATTTTCAAAAGAGATAATCAAGTCTATTTGTGATGAAATTGGTAAAGATGTGTTCGGTATATTAGTTGATGAGTCTAGTGATGTTTCCAAAAAAGAACAAATGGCTATAGTTTTGAGATATGTTGATAGACTTGGGATTGTAAAGGAAAGATTTATCGGAGTTGTTCACATGTTGGATACATCCTCTTTGACTCTTAAAGCCGCCATCGATACCGTTTTTTCCAACAACAACTTGACTATCGATCAGGTGAGAAATCATAAAATATTTATTCCTTTAACATGATATTAGTTTTATTTTTATGTGTTATATTTTTTTTTATTAATTTTTTCAAATATATAGGTGAGGGGACAAGGTTATGATGGAGCAAGTAATATGAGTGGTGCATTCAATGGTTTGAAATCTTTGATTTTAAATGAAAATAATTCTGCACATTATATACATTGCTTTGCACACCAACTTCAATTAGTGGTTGTGGCGGTTGCAAAGAAACATGATGTTGAAGAATTCTTTGAACAACTAGGTTTGGTGGTTACTGTTGTTTGTGGGTCTTGTAAGAGAAAAGATATGATACGAGAGAAGCAAAAAGAAAGAGTGGAAACCGAAATTGGTATTGGTGAAACTGAAACAGGAAGAGGGTTGAATCAAGAGATTTCTCTTGTTCGAGCTGGAGATACTAGATGGGGTTCACATTTTAGAACAATTGTAAGTTTGTTGAATTTGTTTGCAGAAGTTGTTGCAGTCCTTAAATAGATCAAAGAGGAGGGTTCTACTTTATCTAACCGTAATCAAGCAAAGAGTATTTTGTCATATTTCAAAACACTTGATTTCGTATTTCTTTTACACTTGATGTTGGAAATTCTATGCCTCACTGATATTTTGTCAAAACATATTCAAAAAAAAGATCAAGATATTTTGGAAGTGGCTTCGTTAGTAAAAGGGACAAAGAAAGCATTGCTAGTTTTTAGAAAAGATGGGTTTCCACAAATTTGGAAGAATGTGTGTGCTTTTTGTGAAAAGCATAGTATTGGAATCGTGGACATGTCAGAATATTATGTTACCCCACGAAAGCGTAGGACCAATAAGACTAATCAACATCATTTTGAAGTTGTGATTTTTAACACGGTTTTGGATATGCAAATTCAAGAATGTGGGGATAGATTTAGTGAAGTTGGCACGGAGTTGATGGAGAACATGGCGGCTTTGAGTCCTTGTGACTCATTTTCTAGTTTTGATAAAGCAAAGTTGTTAAAGTTAAGCGAGATATACAAAAACGATTTTAACGATTCAGAAAGGGCGCAACTTAATGGGCAACTTGATATCTATTATCACTCTTTGCTCCATGATGAGAGAATTTTCAATTTGAAGGGAATTGCAGACCTCTCTCGTTTGTTGGTGGAAACTGGGAAGCACCTCTCTTTTCCTTTGGTTTATAGATTATTAAAACTAACTTTAGTTTTGCCCGTCGCAACCGCAACCGTTGAACGGTGTTTTTCTGCAATGAAGTTTTTTGAAGACCGATTTGCGTAATAGAATAGGTGACGATTTTATGAATGGTGCTTTGATTTGTAGTGTAGAAAAGGAAGCACTAGAGAACGTTAA